TTCGCCGTATCTTTGTGATCAGCATTGCGATTCCCCTCAGCCCATCGTGCGCATATAGCAAAGCCGGGAGAGCCTACGTCCTCTTCTTACAGCTCCTCCCAGCGCCGGTGCAGCTGCCCAGGGAGCGTTGCGTGACCGCAGAAAGCAGACCTTTGGCCTCGAGCGTGTTCCCAATGCTCATTGCCTGTCCACTGCAGGCTGTTCGCATTGCATGCAGCCCTCTAGTTGATTTTCTCCCGACTTGAATTGCAGCTTGTATTTTCAGTCAAATGATACTTTACATTTCGAGTAGTTTATCGCTTGCTTTTTTTTCCCTGCATCTGACCTGTTGTTTATTGGACGTGGAAGACTGCTTCTCGTATTTCTCTTTCTCTTGGTTTCCTCGAAGCGGTGACACTGGAACACTGGCTACGATTGATCAACTAAAGCACGCTAGAACTTTCAACGAGCGACAAGTTAAAAAAAATCTATTGGTTCTATTTTTTTCCATTTCATTTCGTACTTTTACATTACCTTATGATCTTATTCGTTGATGCCAGAACATAATTTGTTTTTCAAAATACAATTTTGTTTAGTTTTCCTAACTGAATAAATCAGCTAAAAATTCGTTTCGATAATTGCCACCAAGCTCATGTGTCAAGTCTATGCCATATACACTTGGCCGCCAAAATTCGCGGTAAGTTTCTTTGTTCACCGCGCGTTGACGCTGAAGCTAAGTGTGTAGCTGCCGACGTTTTTCGTTCATATCCACTACCACCACCACCACCACCACTACCACCCATCACCACCACCACCACCACCTCCCATCACCACCACCACCACCACCACCCATCACCACCGGAGTTGAGTCTCCTTACAGGCTTCATGGTTCCACCCCTCGCCTACGTCCACCATTTCTCGTTCCCCTGCCTTCTCCCGAAGTTGGTCGCCTCTTTGTCCCGCGCAATCTGGTCCCCGCGCCGGGGGCCCCTCTCGTGCGATCGCTGCCGTGCGAGGGAGGCGGAGCGGCGGCGTGGAGTGCTTTTATCTGGCATCGCGCGCTCACGGAGCCCTTTGCCCTCCGCCCCGCGCTTTCTCTCTCCGCCCCGCGGCCCGCGCCCACCCACGGCCGCGACGCCCCGCGCTAATTGGGTTGACGCCGCCGCCGCTTCGTCCTACGAACCGGCCCCGCCCCCTCAGGTGGACGCCGCGCGCGCGGCGCCGCCCGATGGGGCGCGATACGGCCGACGCGACGGCGGCCGCGCGACGACATTAGCATACCGCCCCGGCCGCCGCGCCGGCGCCCGGCTACTTGTACGAATATAAATGAGTGTTATCTCGCGGCGGCCTCCGTGTTGCCGTTGCTGCCACCGCCGCCGCCGCCGCTGTTGTTGTTGTTGGATTTTTTATTTATCAGCTCGGCCACCGCCATTAGCCTGTGTTAAATTCAAAATAGTGCGAACTCGTTTTGCATGACAAGTCCCCCGCGGAGGGCCCTGCCCGGCCCAGCCAGCGCCCCCTCGCGGCCGCCGCCGCGTGCGCGCCCGCCTCGCGTGAGCTCTTGTTTGTAATGCGGGTCGGGTCGAGTCGGGCCGTGCGTGCGCCGCCGCCTCCTTGGCCTCCGGTCGCCGTAAAAACCGTTTGATAGAGCGGGCGAGGCGGAGGCGGCGTCGCCGGGCCGTCGCGCGGCGCTGCTGCTGCTGCTGCATAGGGATGATGAGAGACCTCTGCGCGGGCGGCGCCAGAGCTTCCGTGGCTGCCCGGCGGGCGGCGCCAGGCGTCGTGGCGCGCGGCGCGGTTGCTTCAAACAATGGGATAGTCCCCGCTGCGCTTTTGTGCCGGAAGCGGCAACCATGGCGTTGGCCTGAATCCAAAGGTTTTATTACGTATGTTTGGATCATTTGCGGGACGATAGTAAATTTTAATTATTTTTTTTTGTACGTGTATGTCACTTTTTATGGAGGGAACAACATCCTGAATTGAAGGAATTAAACAAACGTTAGCGATGCAAAGTGTCTGAGCGCATTGATATGATTAAATTATGTCGATGAACATACTTATTCCCAAAAGTATACAATTCAGAAATATTGTGTTAATTTTCGTGTTAATAAATTTTAATATTAAATTTTATTAGTATTACTAATTGATATTTAGTACAGAGTGTTTACAATATTTATTGTAGAATCTCATAGGGTCCCAAACGTGTCATGTCTGATTTGACAACATATTTACGTGAACTTCTGGGTGTCCGGCAAAATTGCTCAACAAAAAAATTCGCATTCGATCCGACTTGTGGCCTGAGCGGAGCGGTGGGGGATGCACCAAGTCGAGCCTGGAGGTTGCTGTGAATTAGCATCTTCGATCGACCGGGGCGGTGTGAGCGAGTCGGTGCTGAAAGGATCCGCACGCGTTGTGTGTCGT